CTCTGGAGTTTGTTGCTTCTGCCGGAACTGTTCCCACAAGTAATCGACGAACGCGTGATGAAGATAGAACATGGGATCGTTTGGGCTCACTCTAAACAAATCAGTAGAAATAATCAAATCGATGGAAGACTATTCCAGGATGTCCTTCATTACATCCTTTTGCTGCTTTCTAACTGAGTTTTTCCATGACTCGGAAGGCAGGCAATTGTGAGGCCAATTTGCTTGGCGCGTTCCAGACTGTGTGACATACATGGTGTGTCACAATTTTTTATTTCTACGATGTTTTATATGGCCTACTTGGCAGCTATTCCATGTTTCAAAGCCAAGAACACACGGAATACAAAGATCTCATACATGTGAAAAAATAGATAGAATTACTGGTCATCCATGTAGAAAAGTGACAAAATGATGCTGAAGTCCTCGCAGAACGGTGGTCCAATAAAATACTATCCCAATTTGCCAAGGCGCTTGAGCCTGTTCCCTTCGGCGCTCGAGATTTTCGCTTCCAGTAGAATGTTGGGGAATGTATTCCTGATATCGCCGTAATAAGTGGAGGGGGGGAGGTGCAAGGGGGCTGTAATAAGCTCCCTGGTTGCGTTTCTATTAATAGTGACCATTTCAGTAAGAAAGCAACCAGTAGCAGAAAACGCTGCGGCCCAGCCTATGCATGCTGACATCGCGTTACAGAGTGCAAGGATATCATCAGAACTCAGTGTGATTTTGTTTTGCTATCAAGAAGGAGGCGGAGGTGGTGTAGTGACAAGTGGCGCGCTTACCACTCGCGCGGTCCTGGGTTCGAATCCCTGGAAAACTTCAGGTCAACCAAGCCTTCTCCCCTCTGGAGGTAAATTCGAACCAGATCCGTCTGGGAGTACACTATCTTGTACATCGGCTGACCCCCATCTACAGCATAAAGGGCTATTCTTTTTTTTGCAAGGGTCCTCGGATTTCCACCGTAGCATACGGATTTATCAGAAGCTGGTCGTTGAGGAATCACAGACGTGGTTGAGCCGGGGAATATTTCCATCAGAATGTTGATACCCGACCCTTTCGTGAATGAAAGCAGCATTTACCCCTATTGCACCCATTTCTGCCCCTCGAAAATGAACTAGTAATGATCAAATCTATACATCTTTAGCTAAAGAAACAGCAAAGTGAGTTCACCTTATGACGAACATAAATCCTCCGACCCATACGTGACTGAGACCATGCATGCTCTCGAACGTTTTATCGTGGCAAAACGTTAGCTGACTGAAAGACAAAGTTTTTAGATAGTGCAATAGAAGGAATACACAGAAAAAAATGGAAACAAAATACAAAAAAGAACAAATGAAGCTAGTTCAGATCACCCAAATCTACAAGAACCCTCGAACTAGAGAACTGAAGAACGACGCTAGTTCCGCTCTTCACCTGTTGCCAGCTGCCTAGGCGCAAACTGTGTGGTAATGTGTGCATCCGGCGCTCCTGGGTACTCAATTTCAGGTGCAGTTGGGTTCCTTATCCAACCTGTTGTCTGTCTTGGTCTAATATCTTGGTACCGATGGATTCTTACTGGCCACGACCATCGTGCCATGTCTGTCGGTTTAGAATTCAGCAGATGAGGTAGGGTATAGATAACTAGAGGTGCAGAGGATTGCTCCATCGGTCATGGGAATCTACCTTGGTGATTATTTCAGCAAATTCCTTATGTCCTTTCCCAGTTAATCCCGCTTTCCAGCACGCTTCCCGTTCCTGGTCAACTAAATTCGCTGAATTCGGAACTTCGCTCCATGTTGAAAATAAGCGAGGCTGCTGAAATCCCTGCAACATCGCGACGCTTCTTTGTGACCTTAAATGACCTTAACAAATGACCAAAATTAGTGTGATGTGACTTTTTTGATACTTTAAACCGACTGACGAATGCAGGAAAAGGGGTCAAGGAGATGAGCGGTCACGCTGAGTGTAAAGTTAACTAGGCATGACAGAAACTCCTATTCTTGACACTTGTGTAGAAATTAATAGCAGGGCAGGTACAAGGAAACTGCTAGCTGAAATATGCCACAGCACATGTGCGGCTTATCTTCAATCTAGAAGAAGTTTTGGCAGTGCTCGGCTGGGTGGAGTGGGAGCATTTTGCATTTCTGCTAGTTCTTTTTGATCAAGAGGCCGCACTTGGCAAGGTATGTAAACTCGCGAAGCTTGTGAAGCTGCGAAATGGTGTAAGGGAGACACTTTGTTCACAGGAGTGGACAGATCCCGAGGTAGCCCGAACTGGAGGCTTTATTAATCCACCCAAAGTTATTATATTGCCAGGCGAATTTGGCACACATTAGGAATTCGCTTGGCCTTAGGATAGGGCCATAAGCACAACAATTTCGGCCACACCTGCAGTGTAAGGAATCAAATCTGGTGAACTAGTAGTGGCCGCCACTCGCTCGCTGAGAAATGCACCGTGAACGTGAATGGCTTCCATACGAGCAGCGAAAAGAGGTGTTGAAACTTCCAAATGCTGTGGCTAAATCAAACCTATAATTTTTCCTGGATGTAATCCATTCGATGTCACGAGGTGTCATTAGACGATCTTGCTCGCGTCCGCCAGTGGACCTAAACGATTTACAATAACTGAAAGGTTGAGCAGATTGCTGTCTTCCAGATGACAGTATGGCTTTCTCCTTCAAAACGGCTACATTCACGTGCCTAGCAAGGCTGGAAACGGACTCAGTATGGTCTGCCAAGACTGGGGGAGGCACATGTTTCCTTCTACAGAAAATGAAGATGAGCCAATCGAGCTGATTGGCTGTTTGGGACTAAAACTCAGCCGCCAACGAATTACAGGTTCTAGCGACCTGTCTGTGAGGCCTCGGGGCAAAAAGGTGGAGGACTCTTCGGCGACGGACTTTTTTGGCGCCACACCGTGTACACCTAAAGATTAGAGCCGAATCGAAGGTGACTTATAAGCAGGACAATAGGGTCGCACACCGCTTGCATCAGAATTCAGCTTCCTCGTGCCATTTTCTCAATCTAGCGTGAGAAGGAAACCTCTCCCCCCCCCTCCCCTTATGCTGAAATGCATACTGTACTTTCTACTCCAAGGATCTGGGCCTTGTCATGTACGAGATGGAATGGATCCGTCGGTGTGAAAGAGTGTCACTTTCGTCACTCGAAAGTACGCTGAAATGAATCTGGAGTGTTATCCTGGACCGTAGTGACGTTGTCGGAGCTGCTCGAGGTCTCCAGATCAAGAGTGCTGGTCTCCAGGTAACTATCGGCCGACTTCATCAAGGAGTTCGCCAGCTGTTTGAGTAGGTTGATGTGAGTTCCATGTACCTTCTCGGTCAGGCTGTGCATTGGAGATTGGCTCCATAATTTTGTGTGAGATGAGGTAATGGCGAAAGGTCTGCCCTCCTGCTTATCAGCGAACACCTGGGGTACCTTCCGCCCTGGTTCTCGTACCAGATGTCTTCTGTGCGGCAGCAAACTTAATGACGGCCTCTTTTCTTTTCTTTCGGTGCCTTTTTGGTCCCCATGTATATTTTCGCAGCCACTTTCAGTGAAGAATGGCGAAACACCTTAGGGCCTGTCCATCCCAGTACATGAAAAGGAATTTTACTCGTGGAGGGGTATAGGTGCAGCTACTTCAATAAGAGATCGGTTCATGGTTGAAGAGATTTAAGCCGACTTAGTCCGTGGAAGTAACGTAAAGGTGCATCATCAGTTTTGCTTGTCCTGGATGGACATGCGCCTTAGTGTCTTTCATTTATTCAGCCCATAACCGATTTTTCATGAGTGCGTACGCTGCCGGGTTTCTTTTCGTAGCTCGCACAATCAAAGGCTAAAGGAAGACTTAAGTGTACTTGACGGTCGGGAGAAAGCGTTTTCAAACCATGGTGCCTAGTCAGAAAAATTCGAAAATTGAAATTGGACCTGTCCTACCTGTAAAGCTTCTTCACAGGGATTTGACTCAACGGCATCAGTACATTAGTGTCCCAGTTTTTGAATGGACCCGTCTTTACGTAACCATTTCCGTTACCAAGCAGCTCATCGCTCCACATAACGCTGTCTGATGGTTCCGGCAGACCTAAAAAGACATGCAAGAAATGAGATCAAGCGCAAGAAACCAACAAAATCCTACCGCCGCACTCTCAAGGTTTGTCAGTGACTAATTTGATAACCACTCAGAATCGTAGAACGTGCTCAAAGGCAAGTGGCACGATAAATCTCCAGGACGTGTGGGATTAATACCCCTATCAGGACAGATTTCGGTGCGCTGAGCAGGCGCTGCGTGGCACCTTTCCCACGGGAAGTACCCTTATAGCGCCCTATCCAGCTGCAGCATAGCGACCCGGACTCCCGCCTGTCCACAAATGTCTGACCTGCTACCATTTCACACCGAGTGCCAAATTATCGTGTCTTAAAGACCTTTGGAGACGTATCTAAGAGCGCATTTCGCTCCTTCTTCCTCGGGAGCACCTCTGTGACCTACAGCTTCATGTATCTGTCCAGCTACCCACACAGGGTAGAACATCGTCGCTGCACATGGTCATGCACAGGGGGTCATACTTTCCCGCTGCCGCTGGGGAGGGGGAGGGTCGTATTTAGTGGTTCTTAGGAGAGGGTGGGTCGTATGTGCTTTGAGAGAAATTTGCCGTTTTGGGAAAAAGTTTTCCCGGTTGTTGACTTCTCGCGTGATTTTTCCTGTTTCATGTGGTGTACTGAAAGCCCCCCCCCCCGCTCGACAGCAAAATTTTTGGGGAATAGTAGGAAGATTTTCGGGAAATTCCGGAAATGTGGTAGGAAGTTAGGGAAAATCTAAAAAATTTTCCCGCTTCACATTGGCTATATACTCCCACTCGGTGGAGAATCCTTGGGTGAAAGACGGGAAAATGTAGAAAATTGGAAGGTAGGTGTAGGCGAATGTGGGGGGAGGGGGTCGTACTGACACCACCATTTCACACATCACGATGCTGTACCCTGCTCCCACATCATCTGATCGCTCCGTCTACTTTCAAATTGTCAAAAATGGAAAAGTAGTTACTCACTCTTTTTGAGAGTAAAACCGCGATGCAAATACTCTTATCGTGTCCCGGAGCATAGTTGTTTTATAATATTCAACTATGCAATTAATTCGATGCCCATCGTAATTTCAGAGGGAGAGGATTTTATTCTGATTCACTTCTGTTGTTACCACGGAAGCTTCATCTTTACCGAAAGATCTCTGCCGTCCTTTCCCTAAAATTTCCCCTTGTAACAACTACACGGGGGAACGTCTAACCTTTGAACCATGTGGCGACACCTATACATGAAGAACATCTTTTGTAGTGATTTGAGCCGTGGAACAGAACTGGTTTCTTTCGCCTTTGTCATGACGCCGCACATCACCTGCCGATGCGCTCTATCAACTTGCGACAATGTGCGATTCGCTTACGGAATCTATAGAGCGCCCATGTCACAACGTGAATTGAACGCAAAGTGATGTAAACGACGTAAAACATCCACCAGACGGCCACTCCCTACGCAAACTATCAGCTGACTCACGCTCCGCTTGATTGCCCTAATCAGCGATGACAAATGAAAAAAACGGAACTGTGTAAGCTTCTTGCAGTGCAATTCAACATTTGGATGTCCCTAACTTTATCATTACAGCAACAAAATTGGATTTAATCAAATTTTTTCCTATTCAGTGCCCTGACTGCCAACCATTTTGTAAAAATTCGGGCGCTGTTTGGCTTAGGAAGGGCATTTCCCTTTTGCTACTCCAACCTAACTGACAGCTTTCATTTTGGTGAGATGCGTAACCCCTTACAAAAACGCATAATGGTACAAGCGAGGTACATCGATTAAAAGAATTCACAATTCTCCACAAGGTGGTCGGCACAGGTTTCAATAAGTACCATATGGTGCCCCCACAAAGCCAATTAGCGCCAAATCTGTATAGTGCTTATTCCAAAGGGAATTAGTGTGTCATACAAGCCTATAACAAAAGACTAGCTTATCTCTCGGAATCAACTGTGCAGGAGAAATCGCATCCAAAACAAGTCTGCGAATCTAATGGAACGAGACTGCGTGGCGCACCCTAAAGGACTGACCAAGAGTTTTTCCTCTCTGAGGTTTGTTCAGGGAGCGCTGAACAGGAATATGATGGTCATTCTCAGATTACCAGTTAGCGCCGAAGAAGTAGGCCGCTAAACTGTACTAGCCCAACAACTCTTAGGGCCGTATTCGAGACCATAGTAAGGTTATAAGTAAGAGTGAGTAAGTAGATGTTGTTGACGATCACGGTACTGTATTGCTCCTAATTGGTCAAGAACGAGGGTAATTTCCCGTGATCAGGGTATCCTATTGGCTAACTTGGAGGTTACCTGTTCCTGATTGCAGAAACAGCCTTTTTCGACACTATTGGGTGGCAGTATTCCAATTTACTGAACTGCTAAGTAGTGTAATAGTTAGGAAAGGAAAAAAGCACAGAGTTTCCCATCAGTGGTCAGAAAAGATAAAAAGCAAAATCACAAATGATGAATGAAAATGCAGATGAAACAGACCTTGGTCGAGTGTTGAGTCCCAATATGGCAAGGAGACTGATGGTTCCTCATTCTGAAGTGCGACTTCAAACTGTCGAAGGAATTCGCGATGCCATGGCAGAAATGCTGGTCCCCAGTGAGCGCCTGAAGCAAAGCCAAGTTTACCAGTGGAACTGCACAAGGCTCTTTTTTTGCGATGGGTCTGCGCTGTTCATCCGACGCTCCTTTGATTACAGAACAACTCCGCTCACAAATTCTTTCATTCAGGTAGAAAGATTGCAGATTCCGACAGCCCCTGTCACAAGTGCGGCCGTCTAGAGCGTGACCACCATCATCGCCGAAAAGAGCTGTCGCGTGCGTTCCTAATCGCTGGTCTACATTGAGCCGCGCGCGACGGAGTGGGGAATTTCGATTGTCTTGACCGTCTTCTCAAGAGAAACGTTGGAAAATCGCTTGGGTAAGTGGCCAAGAACGCCAAGCTTTCACATATGACAGGAAAAATTATAACAGCCTCGACCGTTAGTATAAGTTCAACAATTCTCAGGAGACGAGAGCCAGTCTGTCACTTATAAGATGGTCCTTCCTAGTAATTTCTTCACACCCTCCCCTGCACTAATGAAACTTTCTGCGCTGCGAAGAAAACCATATTGAACGAATTTGATCATT